CTGTTCCTTTCAGCGTGCTCCCACTGTATTGTAGGGATATTTTATTTTATTTTTTAAGGAAAGTCATGGCTGCCTTTTTTCATATTTCCGGATAGATCCCTTGTCTAGCTGAAGCAGCTGTGATTTAGCCAGTGCAGCGCAGCGCTATTTGCTGCTGTCAGGCTGAGGCTGTGCGATTCTGGCCGTAACAGAGACGCTTTTCCCTCTGAAGCCGGGCACTCGAGATAAGATGCAGCACAATGTTGACATCTCCAGCTCTCAGCAAAAGATGAAGATTTGACAAAAGAAGCCTCGTTAGGAGTCAGGGAATCTCCTTACAGGGTATTCTTTAGGTGTGATGAGCAAAAGGGGGAGGTGGTGTTAGAAGGAGGCTGTTTGACAAGGCGCTTCAGGGAAGGGGCTAACAGCGCTGTGTTCTGCTTGGCTCTAGGAGAGGGCATAAGGCTTTTCACACTGTGCGTACCGTTGTGCTAATAGCATGAACATTATTCCTCTGAATAATGTTTAATGTTGCAAGCAGCAGCATATGCTCTCAGTGCAGCACGCAGGCAAACGTTTGCATGCAAGAGGACTAGTTTTGGAGAGGAATTGCCTAGGAAGCCTAAGGTTGTCCTTTTAGGTTTGCTGGGACACAAGGTTGATGAACAGTGCATGAATATTTAAAATTACTTATATGAAATCCTTTACAAGCTTCACTGAATCCACAGATGGGGAGAAAAGTGTTTTTGGATTATATACGCTAACCTACTCAGAGCATTAACATTAAACACCAGTCCACCACTGAGAAAATAAAGTCAACAGATTTTTTCACCTCGTCAGGCATCAGGCTTTCCTTGTACCTCCGAGCCTCCCCATGTGCCTGACAGTCCTCCTTTCCTTCCTTGGCAGCTCCAGGTTAGGATACTGCTATGATTTAAGCATCCTCACCTGTTTCTCTTATCTCTTCTACTCAGCCCCTTGCCCCTGTTAAATGCATCCTGCATGAAAGGTGCCAAGCAGCTTGGAAAGCCCAACCACCATTTTTTACAGAAGAGGCTTCCCAGCTTTTTTCATCACCCCATGTAAGGCTCCTTGCATGCTGGTACACACAACAAAGGCAAGCCACTCCTCTCCTCTTCGGGCCTCATGCAAGGAGGAGGGTTGCAATGCAGTTCCAGGAGGAAGGTTGCAATGTGAGGCTGCGTTTGGAGTCCCAGGAAGGTGCATGTGGCTGTGTGGGCTTCTGCAGACGTTTCCTACCATGCTGCGTTATGCGGACACCGGAGAATGGGGCCACAGCGCAGCAAGGGGGCTCCTGAGTGCAGGCTGGCGCCGCTTTTATCTTTTAGTACTCTGGCTGCACTTTTCTTCTGTCCATACACGCTCTGCAGCTGTCGGTTACAAGTTTCCCCATCGGTTGCCAGCAGCACAATCTGTTATGGCCATAAACTGGAGAACTGGCAAACCGCTGGAGAAGGTCGTGGGGACGAGGCCCAAGCAGTGCTCACTGGGGAATGAAGTTGTCGCAGGCCGCACCACATCATTAACAACGAAGGCAGCAGATGACAGCATGTTCAGATCCCATGGGGCACATTTATTTGGATTTTCACTGTATTTCTATTTGAGGGGGAAAAAAAAAAGAAGTTCTAAATGCTGTCTGCTACACAGCAGACTTCTGACAGCCGTTGGAAAGGACAGTCAGGGCTTCCCAGTAATTTCACAGGATGGCAGCCTGGCCATCGTGCTCCATGACAGACGGTGTGTTTGGCCTCTCAACTATTCTGGTTGTGGTCCTCGATTGGAGATGTCAGAGGCAGCACTCGGGCCCACAGGGACATCACACCTTCCCTGGGACAAGGGGAGGGGGCTTCTGGGGGCATTGAGTACAGGAGATTGGGGATTCTGCGGGACAGCAGCTGCTTGGGGGACAGAGAGCTTCTTTGGGGTGAGTCCTTACAGACGGGACATGGTCTGCTGCAGGGAGGGACTGATGGCAGACGTAAAGCCTGGGGGCAAGGAACGATCTGCAGAAGATCGGGTGAAGGAAAAACTGCTTTTAACCAATTTTAATTTCATTTTTCTCTCCAATGGTCTTTTTAGAGTGTTGTTTTTTTTTTTCTTTAATTAAAAGTTAAATGTTCCATTATATATTCTATCAAAGCCTGCCCTTGTGAGTCTTTGGTCCTTTATGTGGAACTTTCTATAAGGAGAAGGCGTTGGATCCCTTCAGACATTAAATGCTCATTAATTGTTACCTCCATCCTTGCCTGCTGCCACGTGGTGGTCCTGCAGGGCAAGGTGGGAGGGGGTGGAGGTCCTTATGCTGCAAAGAGCAAAACCCAGCTTCAACCTTATGCTCCCTAGTTCCCCTGAGCACGTGGACTGAGACTCAAAACATGAAAATCAGCGAGGCTATGAGGAGTGCGGGGCTAAGTACCAAGCAGATCTGTGAGGACAGCATCAAAATGATGCTCAGGGCTCCAGGAGCACGCCAAGCCCCAACAGCACATGTGCTACTGCAAGCAGCAGGCGTTGTGGGGTCTGTGCTGGGCAGGGTTCCCTGCCCCAAATGTCACCCATCCCCTTTGCTCCTGTTACCCATGTCACCTCATAAAGGTACCCTCCTCCCCAGTGCCTGCCTGCCGTAAGGTCTCGGAGGGGTGTCAGTGCTTGCAGTAGATCCCCAGAGACAGGCCTAAGCACTTAGGCTGCGAAGCTGTGCTGTTTTAATTTGAGGAGGCAGGAAGCCAGGTCAGATTGGCGGTTTAAGTACCGACAAAATAAACTAAATGCAGATTGTGAGTCCCAGCCTCTTCTGCGTTCAGTTCCCGCGGGGACACTCTGTTCCAGTGGCCTTGTTCCATTCGGCTTTCTTGCAGGGGAATTGGAGAGTGTCCAGCTTTTCAAATTACCTCAGCTTTAATTTATTCTGCTTTTGATGTTCGCAGCACCATATATCTAATGGTCCCCAAATCTTTCCCATGGTCCCTGAGGCTATAATTTACCTGCCCGATTTCTCAAAGGCAGATACCACTTTATTTAAAAGTTACGTCTAATTTTAATATCCATATGTTTATATAATATATGAAGTTTGCAGGGTGAGGGAGGAAGAGAAATGACTTAGCTTCATGAACCTTCCCGGTCGCTTTAAAGACAAATGATTTTCAGTTTTACAAAGGCGTTTTGCAGAAACCTGCCCAGGTCCTGCGTGTTTAAGGTGACTTACACCTGGCAAAAAATGAACAAGCTGTTCTCCCTTAGGACTCAGTACCGACCTCACAGACCTAGGTGTGATCCAGCTAAAGGTATCCCTTTTCCTTAAACAGTTTTTTTCTTTTTTTTTTTTCTTTTTTTTTTTTTTTTTCATAAAGAGAAATGCTGACAGTGGGGGAGATGAGCGAAAGGCAGGAGTTGGGAAGCACTGGATTTGACATGGCAGGATTTAGAAATAAAGAGCCTGATTCCAGTTTCTATTGAGGCAGCTTTATGTAAGCCTGGAAATGCAAAAGGGAAGCAGTGAAACAAAGCTGTAGCACTTGTTAAAGCCCCTTTTCAGAACAGGTTAAATAAAAATCAGGTCCAAGGCCTTGTTTCCCTCCTGACTCCTGGGCTGCAGGAATGAGAGCTGTATATGTAAGTAGAACAGAATCACGGTGAGAGTTAAACCCTGAAGACAGGCCTCAGGAGGACACAGGCTGGCTCAGGAAAACAAATCTGAGGAAGATGTCCTGTGATTGCATCGCAGCTGGTGAAAGTGAGCTGCCGTCCAAGGAGAGCGCTGATTCCGGAGCCCTGCGGCCGCCTCTTGCAGCTCCCTGCGGCGGCCGGGCAGAGCCTGGCTGCTGATTTCCTCCCGCGTCCAAGCCCGCTGTCACCTCTGCGCGCTCGTGCTGCTACCTTGGCATTATGAACATCGGACGTGGTGGGAAAGGTTTGCCAATTCTCTGCAAGCAGGTTAATCCAGCTCTGTTAACACACCTACTCATTTCAACGATACTCAAAGCCTTTTATTTTCACCTGCACTCGTCTGCTCAGGGAGAGCCACGTGCTCACCTGGTTCATGGTGGTGTAACTTTTTGGAAGCCTGGCGGAGGAAAAGAGAGCTCTGGAGATGTGACCTTATGAATTCTGATCTGAACACAGAGCAATGAGGATAATTTAGCAGTTGCTAGCAAGAGAAGTGCAACGTCAGACTCGTATTTCGATTTCAGACTGTGCCTCAAGCAACTGGCTTATGAAACAGATAACTTTTCTTACTATGCAGAACTGACCTTTTTTTTTTTTTAGGGGAAAGAGGGGAAACAAAGCCACTGCTTGTGTCCTCCCTGTGCCACCCAATAGGGCATCCTAAACAATGTGAAAAGGTGTCTCGCATCTTCCTTACAAGCTGTTTGTTCCTTTTTCTGCCTCCTCTTCCTTTTTCCTCCATAGGTGATGGAATAGGTTGGCTCCAGCTCACCCCTCCTGGCATGCCATATGTGCTGTGTGCTGCCCTTCTTCACTAGATTGGTCCAGCCTTTGGGGAGGTGGGAATTTATTCCTGGAATCACTCCAGTGTCCAGATCACTTTCCTTGTCTTTATTAGGATGGACTGCAGCCCACCACTGTTGAGAAGAGCAGTTGGTAGGGAGCATGAGATAATTGCCTAAAATGAACTCTGCCTCCACGGGGCACAAAACCTCTCAGTGGCATCGCCACTCTCCCGTTCCGGCTTAAGTCACCTTCCTCCCCCTGGGCAGTAGCTGCTCCTTGCGTGTGTTCTGGGGACCATATGCTCGGCCTGCTCCCCGGACCCAGGCTTGGATGCTGCCTGCAAAGCTACGCACGTTCTCCCCCCGCAGACCTGCTCAGATGGCATCCCCATCCTACCGGCACAGGCAAAAGAAATCACCTCTTCTGCAAAGCTTCGCAGGTCCCAAGGGACAATCTCCCTGCCTGCCCATTCCTAAACCCACACAGCCTTGTTTGGTAGGGCCAGCCCCCCCAGTGCTCTTCAGCCTCATGCAGGGGTCTGACTCTTCTGTCAGCCTCAGCAGCGCGCTGTGCTGTTTTGTATGGCATTGGGTTGGAGATGGGTCATGACTGTGAAATTGTGGTCCAAGCTTCTGAACGTTCCCCATCCTGTAGGTGCTACAGCAGCAAGGCAAAGCAAATCCAGAGCATGGTTTCTCTGCTGGGCTTGCTGAGCAGACAGCTGTGTATCAGAAGTGGTTAAGCCTGAGCCTCGTTCATCTGCCCCAGCTGGAGCCAGTTAGCTGGGGAGTGCCAGAGGCTGCCAGCTCCCCAGGAGGAGGTGAAAAGCAGGAGAAAGGTGGAGGCACAGGCTTGAGAGCTGTGGACTGAGAGGAATTATGCAAGGAAAAGCATAAAACAGGGAGCAGAGGCTGCCAAAGCAGGTAGGGAGGTGGATGAGGGGTGGGGAAGAGGTACATAAGACATGGCTGTTGTGCTGGAGGCGGGTCTGGGCTTTCCTTCCCCTCCAGAAGGGCAAATCAGGCCTGGAGGCAAATTAGCACCAGAAGGGGAGAGGACCATGGGCTGGCTTAGATGGGCTTGGGGTGTTTGGAAAGTGAGAGGCTCTGCTGTAGCAAGGCAGAAAGGCCGAGCCTGCCTAATGCAGTGCTTCTGTGTCTGTGGGGCTGGGGCAGGGAAATGCTCCCTCCCAGTGACTTTGCCTCCCCCAAAGCTGGCTGTATTGACCCTCTGGAGCTGTGTGTAAGGGGCTGCCCCTGCAGTCCCACAGAGCGTTAGCTTTGCCGCACTGTGCTGCGTGCAGGATGGGGGGGATATGTTGTGCTGGAGCTGTTAGTGGGGAGCATGCTGGGCGTTTTGTGCCACCTGCCTTGTAACAGAACTCGAATTCCTGCAGCGACTTAAATGTACACCCCATGGGTGGTTTTCTGAAACCTCTTGCCAAGTGAAGCCTCCTCTCGAAGCTGGAGGTCCCCGGCTCCTCTCAGCCCTTGGCTGCTGGGCTCCTCTGTGCCACCTTCTGCTCAGATTTGTTGTGTTTGTGCAGAGGGAGAAGGCAGAGTCCTGGTCAGCCCACTTCTGGGGGGCAGAACGGACCCCAGCCATGGCCTGGCTGAGAGCAGAGGCTGAGAAAGCAGCAAGCTTCTACAGGCTGCTGCAGCGGCCCCTTGCCCTTCCAAAGGGAAACAGCCACGTGTCTCTTTGCCAGCTCAGTGAGCACGGGGCTTTATTAGAAAATGTTTCCTTGCATTTGTGTCCTGCTTGGCTTGTTTGGTTCTTATTAGTTAGTAATTGTTTCATTACTGTAGAAATAGATGTCATGTTATTTTTTATGTTGGTGTCTTTTTTTTTTTTCTTCTCCTTTCTTCTCCTGTTGTTTTGTGAACATTTGTTACAGTTATTTGCTGCAGGGAAAACGGGAGAAGGACTGTGGGCAGAAGCTGAGAAATTGCCTTTGCTTTGAGAGAGCCCAGCTCATTGCCCACAGCTGGCAGCAGCAAACCCAGCAACATCACCCTCAGCTGTGAGCCCCAGCAACGTGCCCCTGCTCCTCCTTGCAGAGGGAAGGGCAGGAGCAGGGCAGATGGAGGCTCTGGAGAAGAGCAAACAAAGCCCTAAGTGTTTGATGGGGCCCTTTGCACCTTGAAGAGAGGTGTGGGAAAGGAGTAGAAGGAGCCAGGCAGAGAGCAGCCTGCGGCTCAAATAGCTAAAAGCTTGGGGGGCCCTCACTCTTTGGTTGGAGCCTCTGGAGGAGCGCAGAGCATGCTGCTGGGAGTGCCCTGCTCTGTCCTCTGCCCTGCATGTCCTGACAGCGAAGGTTGCAGGCTTAGGGCCTTCATGAGGGATTACTTCCAGGAGAATCAAGTGCTGGGCATCACGGCCACAGCAGCATCTCCTATGGCAGAGCTCAGTCTTACACCTCTGTGACCTTCTGTGGCTCTGTCCCGTCCTGCCCCTTACACCTCGCTGTCGCTGCTGGTGCTCTTGTTGTCATGCTAAATTAAGGAAACCATCGGACCCTTCAAAATGTCCTCTTACCATTTCAAGGAGGGGCTGGCTGGAGGTAACTTAAAGCAGAGAGAAGAGCCGTGGAGGAGAGCTTTGCGCATTAAGATCTCAATGAATTATGCATGCTGTGAGGCAGGCTGGTACTGGCGCTGCTGGCTTTATGGGAGGAGGAGAGTGATGGCAACAATTCACCTCAGTCTCGAGCTGGGGCTTCTCATGGCGAGGCAGTAATTTGGGCTGAGAAGGAGCAACACAGCTTTTCCTTTGGGCCCCTGGGGGCTGAGAAAGGTTATTTGGCAGCAAGGAGCAGAGGACCTGCTCGGCAGAGTGAGGAGAAAGGGAAGGGAAGGCAGGGAGCACGCATCAGCTCCGTGAGCTGCTCGGCAGGGCTGTGCTGAGGAGTGGTGGAGATGCTGACAAGCCCCAGTGGGTGCGCATTAAACCCTGCCACTTAACGGGACAGGAAGGCTGACACCAAAAGCCTCTGCTGCCTTGGGCTCACTCTCCTGCGAAGCAAAGGTGGAAAGAAAAAGAGGAAGCAGCAGTTAAAGCAAAAAATCTCGTTCAGGGTAAAGGTTGGCTGCAGGAAAATAAAACTCTGCAGCTGTCTGAGATGAGGTCCGTTCCCGCACGTGGCAGCTGACTTGTAGAGCTCCTGCATGTCACAAGTAGGTAACTAGTTCAAGTGGTTTGCCAGGAAATGAAGTGCCCTAGAAGTTTTCCAGGTCTTCGTGAATCAACAGCAAAAAGAAATTAGTTTCTGCGCTTGCTGGCGAGTTGCCACCACGTATTTATCAGACAGCTGCTGCTTTGGTAGTGGCACTAGTAGGAGCTTGGGTACCTTCTAGTTGTTTGTGGTTCTCTTTCAATGAGATCTGCTTCTTCCACTGCATTCTTTAAGGGTCTGGGTTTTGGTCATTCATGATTTTGAACCCTTTTTTAAGGAAGAGGCAGTCCCTACGGGTATTGAAAATGGACTGTGTTGCCCTGAGGCATCTGCATAGCGATAGTGATAATTTTTCTTTTTAGAGTGTTGGTTATTCTCCCCTGTCAAAAGCACTGAAGCTGTATGCTGCTGCTTCGTGGTGGGAGAGTGTGTTTGTGTTGTGTTTACAGATGCAGAAGCTGTCCTGCAGAGACACGGTGCAGCATTTTCAAAGGTGCTCTGTATTGGGAGGCAACCATCTCCTGAGATCTTCAGAGGTACTGCTCATCAAGTGGAGCCTCCCTGGGCTTCAACTTAAGTATTTGGCTGGCATTTACAAAACTGGAAAGCATCTGATATTAGACAATATCAGAGGCTACTCTGAAAAAACTTGGCCCAAGTGATTTCCTTGGCCAAAAACTTGCCCCAGGTGACTTCCTTGGCCTACAGGGCTTCATGGGAATAGTGGGCACTGCTGCAGTTTCTAATTGTTGTTCTTTTATTGTTGAGATGGTGACTGGGATTGCCTTGGCCCCTGCCTCCCAGTCTGTCTGAAACCTGTACGAGACAAGGCTGTGTATTTGTATCTTACTGACTTATTGCTGCACTTTCAAGTGGGATTCGCTGAATTGTTGTCTTGTGTTTGGTGGTGTGGGTATACACGAAAAACTAAACCGCCCTTTTGAACTGTAAGCAGTAAAATATGTATTGTGCTTTAATTATTTTCATTTTTGGCAAAGCTGCTTTATAATACAATTATGTGTGTGCCCAGGGGCATATGGGATTGAATTACTGGGTATCTGCCTTCCAGCGCTCTCACCCCATACTTAAATTATATGAATCCTTTGGGAACCAGGCAATTGTGGAAGTGTTAGTTAGCAAAAATATCCAAAGTTGCACACAAACATCCTTATCTCCAGAGCTGTTTTGTAGGTAACTTTTATTTATCTAATTGCTCTGAGTATAGGCTTTAGATCTCTCATCAAGCAGATTCTTACAAAGATGTTCTTCCATGTGCTGGGACAAGAGACATCTGGGGAAGATGGGGATCACCTACTCTGGCCAAGCATGAGAAAAGGAGGAGGGGAAAAACAAGTCGTTGGGGAAAAATAAGTCTATTAGCTGAAATGAAAGCTCTGGTAATCCTTATTCAGACAAGGTTTTTGTTAATATTCTACGAATAATCTTCTTTGTTTGACTATGCTTTTTCTGGTGTTTTCTTTTAATTTTTCAATGCTTTATAGAAAATGAGGTGCGTGTGATGCTTTTGCAAAGATGCCAAAGCAGAAACTACTCATTGCTGGGGATGAAATTAAGGTCAATACCACATGCAGCTTATGTCAGCTTGATTAAGACTTTTTTTTTTTTTTTTTTTCCCAAAGCAGTTATAATTAAGCAGAAGCAAATTTTGCATGGACATTCTTCTCCTGAGTTATCCTGCTTCCTTAGGTAATCTGAAGTGCTGTAAACTGTTTAAATTGAACTAGGTGCATGCAGACAGGTGTTGGCAATAAACTAAACAGAACAGCTTTGAGCCAGTTTCAGTATGAATTTGCAGTAGTAATTTGTAAATGGGAGCAAGGCAAAAATTTTTGACAAAAGTTGTGGAGTCTCCATAACCAGAAACAACTTGATTGATGTTGACATTGTACAGTGCAAGGACTTGATTTGAGATCTTACCCAAAACCACAGTGGCAAGTTCCACCCCCTTAAGAACGTGCCAGGGAACAGTGAATTCCTCCCCAGATTTCCACAAGGGATATGCATCTAGAGATGCTTACAGAAATCCTTTTTCCTTTGAGCAGAGATGGACGCAGCTTCTGAGCTGGTCTGGATTTGTTTTGTGTGACTCTCTAGCAGGATTCTCCTTCACTGCTTCTCATCAGCTTTCACAGATTTCAGTTCCACTGTTTGAAGCGTAAAAAAAATCTTTATTCCATGTATGTTTAAATATGTTCCTAGCAGCTCAAAAGTTTCTCTTTCTTTATCAGTTAGGCTGATGATTCAATTTCCTGATTTGTTCAGGGCCTGGGCAGAGTTTTTCCCTTCTGGCGCTGGTCCAAGCCAGGTTTCATTGGCTGGATCTCTGCTTATACACAGAGGTGGGCTTGTGATTGCTGAGATTACACATGGGTATTTACCTAAGGATAATAATATGCACCGTGTGTAACCTCTTCCTCGGGCTTTTATTTGAATATTAAGGGGAAAGAAATGATGTTTCTACAGGGGTTTCCTTCCCCGTTTCTCTCAGGGAGGGGGGGAAAGCAACAAACAAATGTGCCATGTTTTCTAGCTAAAACCCATTCAAACAAAAGAAGTCCTAAATCCATATTAATCACCGCCACCTCTAATTTTTCAATCACTGCTTGATTAAATTGCTGCCTAGATTCATGCTTTCAGTGATGGGGCCTGGTGAGCACTCTACAGCGAACTCAAACAGAGAAGTAATAAAGTGCTTTCTGTCATAGGCACTCCCCAAAGCACCAGACACAACACAAGTTATTAAAAAAAAATTCCAAGAGTGAGCTGCTGTAAACTGCGCAGAGAGGAAAAAATGATTGTCCGGGGAAGTGGAAGAAGATTTTAATTTCATATCCGCAATTACAAAAGCAAATACATCTGTACAGAGGGTATTTCAAAGTCAAAAAGAAATGAGCAACATCAAATGGTTGGGGCTGTGTCAAGGGCTAGGTTTGTAAGGGTTTTAACCACAGTCAAAAGACGAGAGCCCATTATTTCTCTTTCAATACAATTGTCAGCATAGAGCACGTCCATCAGTTAATAAGTTTGCATTGATCCACAGCCCCTTGCCTTTAAATCTTCCCATCAGTGCAGGCGTTCAACTGCAGACGTGCTCCGATTGCCACCAGAGGTGGGGTTTTATTCAAGCCAACTTGAATTGGTGTGCAGCCCTCTTCTGATACTCCATGGCTGCTCTGAAATTTGGGCGTGTTGCTGGAAGACTCGAGGTAGACCTGTGATTCTTGTGTCTCCTGCCACCAGCGAGCAGTTACAGTGCTGCTCCTGTGCTGTTCCCTTGCTTGGGCTCCAGCACTGGTTATTTTCTTTAAAATGCAGTCCGTGGATCTCTTGCAATTATATGACTATTCTCTTGGCTTTACACCTTGTCTTCATCAGCTCTGTAAGTCATGATGTTGATAAAAGCACATACTGGCCAAGCTCGCTCTCCTTGCCAGGGTGTCTCACAGGGCACGTTGCTGTGTTCTGACACCAAGAACACAACTTTTTCTTTCCTCCCACCCTAACGTGGCTACAACACAAGTCAATAAAGAGTCAACATGAGCTAAATCATTTTAAGTCAATGTTAAGCCAATTTGGGAATGTCCACGCTAAGGTTTGTGTGGACAACAATTTAGTGAAATCAATTGAAAAATCAATGTTGGGCCTCATCTCTGTCAGTTTAACTAGCTTCCCTCCCGGTCAGCTCCCAGCCGTCTAATAGCTGGCAAAAACCTGTGACATAACATTATCTTAGGCTTGCACAGCCTTCATCGGGAAAAGGATTTCAATCACTGAACTTACTCTGTAAGTCTGGGTCGTGCAGGGTTCCGCCCAGCTGAGTGGGTGATGAAGCAGCCTGCTCGATGCCCGTGGCTGCAGCACGTGGAGGACACGACAGCCCTGTTGGTGAGACACCAAAGGAGGAGCTGAGAGCTGAGTGCTCATTTTTTACCACTTGTCTCTCTCTCTTTTTTTTCCCCCCAGATAGCTGTGGTAGTACAAATCTCACACGTGGTGTCTGGGTCTTATTTCCATTCATTTGTTCTTGGGAAGCTTTTTAAAAGCCGCAGATTACAAAAGTAATAAAAACACTGCTGACTGCAGCCATTGGATGCTAAGAGTAGGGCTGACACATCAGGGATGCTCCCCCATCCTGCCCACTCATGTCAGCATGCTCCGGTGGAAATCCAGGGCTGGTGTGATGCTGATGAGACAGGTTTCCTGAATAGATCCGTCATCACACAAAGCTCCAACTAATTATTTAGCAAATGCCTTCGAAACTTTGGAGCTAAGCATGATTATTCTGGTTAAGAAGGGTGTGATTTCTCTGGATGAAGTATTTCTTCCCTTCATTTTCTTGCGCTGTTGAAGACATGCTGTTAATGCAGTGGTTGTGGTGCAGTGCTGACTTCGTGTTTGCAGGTGCTGCTTTGCCTCCATGAGAGCCACAAACCTGAAATAGGGTCACAACATTAAAATTCCTGCTTGCTGTAGCTTACCTGTTGAAAGATTCAGGAGTGAGGTATGTTTTTAGCCCGCGTTACCCATACACATTCAGTGGTTGACCTACATCAGACTTCACAGCCCTCAGCTAAAGCTACCGCTTGTGCCTGTAGCGTAGAGGCAGGGAGCTGGTGTGGGTAATTGCTGCCTCTTACCGTACAGCAAGGCATGCATGCCGTGCCTCTCCTGGAAGAACTCATCCCGTGCTGCTCTGCAGGAAAACACAATCATCCCACAATGAGCAATAACAATTCAAAAACATTTCATAAACATTTCATTAAAAAAAGACAACCCCCAGCACAACAGCGGTGTTTCATTTTCCCAAAATGACTTGGAGATCTCTTTGCAGGCTGCGGTAGAAATATTGTTGGAGCAGTGGGTCTGAGGCTCTGTCTTTCCCCGCTGTTCTCCTATTTAACATCAAAATACGTTGAGGCTTCCTTCTCTGCTCTAATACTATTGTTTGCAAATCTGTATTGCTCTTCTACACTTTAAAACCCTGACTGAGACCGGTTGTGCCATTAGCCACTTGTTTGAGAAAAAGAGCCAAAATTGAGCCCTTCCAAAAGGTGCTAGGTTGAATGTTGAAAATGTCATCCAGGATAGCTGTGTGCTTACCTCTGCTTTTCGGAAAGCACAATCGTAATTTTTAATTTCTGCAGGTCCCTGA